AGGGGTACATCAACCCCTTTTGGCTCGTCTTTGCTGCCAGTCTTGCTGCCGCCCTCTACGCTGCTTTCTGCCTTCAGGAGTCGGTGAAGCCGCGGAAACCGGCCAAGCTGTTCACGCTCAGTCATTACAAATCTGTCTACAGGCTGTACGTGGCCCCAGAACACCTGAGCTCCAGGCGGAAGCTCGCTCTTTACTCCCTGGCTTTCTTTCTAATTGTCACTGTACATTTTGGAGCTCGGGACCTCTTCGTTTTGTACGAGCTTGGCTCCCCTCTCTGCTGGGCTGCTGACCTCATTGGGTACGGCTCAGCTGCCAGTTACCTGGCTTACCTGAGCAGCCTGGCAGGGCTGCGGCTGCTGCAGCTCTGCCTTGAAGACACCTGGGTGGCAGAGATAGGGCTGATCTCCAATATTTCTGGACTGGTTGTGATTTCTCTTGCTACTACAACAACACTGATGTTTACAGGTGATGTTGAATTCTTAAATCCCCGTATCTCGGGCTCTTAGCTTAGACATGCCAGCAGATGCCGGAGGGCGATGTGCTTTGGGGACCCATTCAGTCACGTGGAGGAAGTTCTGCCTCTGTTTCAGCACGTGTAACGACAAAACTGTGGCTTCTTAACAGCAATGCTGACCAAGCACGAATTTAAAATTGCGACCATGTAGTTCCTAGGTGAGGCTTCCCAGAAGCTGTATTATAGTGCAGACATAAAGTGCATCACATGAGGCAGGAGGGTGAACTGGGTGTGAATAGAGCAGGGAGAAACTGCCTGGAGCTGCAGATTTCTGGGATTGACTTTGGAGACTATTTTTAAAACTGAACTTTTCCTAATGTGCTGTGTCTTGCTCACAGGTTATGGGATTCTCTTCCTTTCCATGGCAGCCACTCCAGTCATCAGAGCCAAGCTCTCCAAGTTGGTCAGTGAGACGGAACAGGGTAAGGAGTTAGCCACTGTGCTTAAACCAGGTCCTGAAACACTGTCTGCTTGAAACATTGAAACCAAACTGCCCTGGGAGGCTGGGACTTCCCTTGCTCCTTTGGACTCTTGTGATCCTGCATTCAACCTCAGGCTCAGGGTAACGTGTTTTTTTTTTCAGAGTAATTGTCATTCATCCATTTAGACATTTTCGAGATGAGGACAAGGGAAGAGAAGCAAGATGAAAAGCATTTCATTCAAGCTCAGGAATAGTTTGTTCGTCCATCAACTTCTGTTGTGTAGAGGTTGTGGAAATGAACATTTCCACAACAAGGAGCCAAGAGTTAAAATGGATTATGTAACAGTCAGAAAATAGTGATTTCCCTGGCCATGACTCTTTTCTGTAGATGAGTAACAGTGGGAAGAAATGTGGTGTTGTTAAAGGCTTGTATCATTGACCATGGTGAAAGATCATAGATAACCCATAGGAGGGGCATATTTGCCTTTCTTCAAGTAATTTGGAGAGCTTGCACTTGCTGTTCAGCACTGAGTGCCTCTTCAGGCAGAGGGGCGGAAGTGGGAAAGATCGAAAGGTGACTTTGCACAGTTCGTGTTTCTTTTATTAAAATGAACGTAGTGCACGCTTGATACCACATTTATGATACTAACCCCATAAAGTGCAGTCTTCTGCTGTACTTAATGTTTAACAAGTGATAAGATGTGCTTGGCAGTGAACAGATCTATATTGGCCTGTCTGAAGAATTTACAGTCAAGCTGATGTATGATATCTGTGGTCAGCTCTGGTGATGCAAATTCTGGAGGTGAGGTGGTCCTGGCTACAAAGCAGATGAGCTTGACAGGTTTGGCTGCCAGACCAGCACAGCGTGCCTGATCTCTGCCCCCAGCTCTTGCTTACCACATTTGATAATCAAATGTTTTCTGATGGGAAATGCAAACCCTGAGGAAGATTCACAGAATCCCACTGAAGGTGATACATTAAAGACGTTTGCAAGCAGGGCTGCCTCCCCATTAACCTCTTTTATATCTTTTCCAGGTGCTCTCTTTGCTTCTGTCGCCTGTGTGGAAGGGCTGTGTTCACTGGTGGCTACAGGAGTGTTCAACTCTCTCTACCCTGCCAGCTTGCACTTCATGAGGGGATTCCCATTTCTCTTTGGAGCTATAATTCTTCTTATTCCAGCAGTTATTATTGGGTAACTTGCTTCAAATTTCTAAACTTTGCCATAGGACCTGTGAAATGTAATGTGAAAAATACTATTTACTCAGGTTAGATACTCACAGTTTTTGAGGCTTATTTTCAGTTATGCTTATGAGAGGATGTTTAGTCTCCCCTGTAAGCAGAGGTGTGAATCCATTTCTTCTGGCGTCCTAATCCCAACGATCAACTTGCAGCCCAAGGAATGTAGCTGCTGACATTCAAAGTGCTTCAAAGTCTCACTCTAGCCTTAAAGTGGAATCCAAAATCTGGAGTTGAATTTGAAAAAGAAGGAGCTGTCTTGGCAGTCTCTCTTCCTGTCCTTTCTTTAATAATGAAAGCAAAACTGTGTGATGATAGAAAATAAATGCCCTGTTAAGTCCTGGGAGAGAGAATGTGTTGGAATTTGCAGTAGAAGTGCAGCAAACGACTCCTGGCAGGGTCGTTTTGTTTTGTTCCTTTGAAATTTGAAAATTCACTTCATTGACTGCCATCCCAGTGTACCTTTGTAGGCTCTGACTGTTCCTTCTTTCTTAGGTCGATAGAAATGTGGGACTCAAACCATGACTACAGTCACCATGCAGATGCTTCCCTGTCCCCTGCAGATGACTGAGCCGCAAGGAGTTGGCCAGCTCACCAGTGTCCATCTGAAAACTGCTCTTTATGCTTCCCTTGAAGCACAGATTAGTGTGAAGGGGACACCTTGCTTGTCCTTACAAATTTTTAAATGCTAAATATTTGGAAATCATGTCACTGACTACCAGCAGGAACTCAGTTTGCAGATGTGAATGCCTTCTCGCCATTGTGTTCACTCATCTGTCAGAGAAAACCTAAGAGACCTAAAATCCAATCAAGAGCAAAAGCTATTGTTTGCCATTTGCAAGGCTGGTTAGTGGTTTGGTGGGAAGGGAAACTTCCATGGCATGCTTTTAGTGGTGAGAGAGGACTGTATTCTGGTTTAATTGCTAAACATGTTCCCCTCTGAGTACTACAGTGTGCAGCAGATGAGCTGTTGGTGTGGGTGAGGCCCAGACCGAAGCCTGCAGAGCAAGACTGAAGCAGAGGGACCCAACGGCGTGCTGCTGAGGAGAAAGATCTGCGCTCCGAGTCAACATGTTCTCCATAAAGTCATGCGTATGTCGCATCCCAGCCCAGGATCCCACAGAAATCCTCACGAGGAGCAGTATTTTGCTGCAGGAGTGCTGTTGCCATTCTTACTGACTAAACTGGCTTTAGCTTCACAAGTTAGAGGTGATTTTAAGTTTTACAGATTTTAATGCATGAGGTGCTTGCAGTGAGGAATGCCAGTGGCGTGTCCTGCTCAGCCCAGGATTTCAGAGGTGCTTTTGAGAAGTAATTGCTCATCTGAGAATACTAACCTGCAAGTGGGTGCCTTAAATAACCATTGCCCAAACTGATGATGTTAAGGCTAAAATTGACAAAACTGGGTTTCTCTAACTAAAGACCCTTACATTGTGATGTGTGTCCAAGTGTTGTGTGAAATTACTGCTGTGCTTACGGCAGAGCCAGAAGCAGTCCTTGCTCATCAACACACAGAGCTGCTGGTGTGGGGACAGGACTAGTGTCTTTGCAGATAAAATTACACCTCAAAATTTTGTGTTAGGGACCTCACTTCTGCTGCCCTTCTCAGCGTATGTTGATGCCAGCAACCAGACCTTGTGTTAATGGTGCTCTTAATTGTGCTTTTCAAAACATTAACTGTCAAACTGTAATATTGAAGTATTGCCTCAATTCTCTTCAAAGTGTCATAAACCAGCAGTTCTGTGCATATTATGTTGCACACACTGTTCAGATGCGTGTGATAATGTCTCTACTGTGAAATTGCTTAGCAGATGTTACTTTCAGAATGAGTAAAACCTCCATTGTCTTTTATGGTTCATAAAAAGATAGCTTTTCTTGTACAGCTTTTCATGTCATTTGTCCTTGCCTTGTTCTTTGCTTCTCTCTAGTATGCTTCTTCCTTTACTGAAGACTGCAGTAGAGAGGAAGCAATGGAAAGTTACCTGATTTGTAGAGAATGAGCATGTGAGAGTCCTGGGTCATGAAAAATGCAGGTTTGGGCCTTGCAAGCAGCCAAAGTTTGTTTTTCCTGAACGCCACCGTAAAGCTTGTGGGAGTGCCTAGTCAGTAACCTGTGCTTGAATATGCAGCAAATGTGAAATGCCTATATACAGCTTTGTTCCCTGTTCATTAGGAGTTTGTGGTAAAAGCAGGAGAGTTGGGGACCGGAGAAGCAGGAGGTGGAGAAGTAGGTTTTAAGAACTTGCTGTTATGTCACTTGTTCCGTGTAGTTATGCCAGTGGACAGAGACAGGATTTACATGTCTAATACAGGAGTTAAGCCCAGAATTAGCCTCCCTGAGGAACAGGGCATGCTGTTGGTGTGGCATTAGATGTTTGTGGCTGAACTGATTGCAAAGGAAATCTCTGCTAGACAGACTCCAGCGCGAACAGCTGCTCAGTGTTGTGCAGAGAAGTGAAGTGTGTGTACTGGCTCCGCTTTCTGCTTGTGTCCGTGTGTTTGCAAAGGAGACATTCAATAGGGACTATTATGCTCTATTAAAAAAAATTAAACCAAACTTCTTCTAGGCTGTTCTCCAAGAACTACATCCATGAAGCAAATACACGGTCCATGTGTTGTGACTGTGGGCAGCAGAGTCCCTGGGGATGCGGTGAGCTACAGCAGTCCGTGCAAAGATGAGTGTGAGGTGAGAGTCCCCACAGAGCATGGTGCCTGGAGTATGTCACTTCTGCTGCCCCTTCAGAGGATGAGAAAGCGTGACGGCAAGAGACAGCAAGTGTGAGAAGGCTGCAGGGTGTGAAGCATGTGACACAAGCAGAAGAGAGGTTGAGATTTAGAGTATAAACCAGATTTATTAATAATGTCAGATAGATAGAACAACTTTAAATACTTTCTGACATGACATAGCAAAGGAGTAAGGAAGGGTGAGGACAGAAGGAGTAATTTCCTTGAGACTGTGCAGACTGGAAGGGGCTGAGAATGAGATGTTTTGTCAAGAGCAGGGTGAGTTCATTAAGGTGGAGATAACTGAGCGATGGAGAAACAGGAAGAGTCACAGGCTGGGCAGCTGGAGCATGAGATGGGATCTCATGGCAGGTGAGACATCTAAACTGTCAGAGGACAGGTAACTCTTCTCTGCATTGGATGGTGGGTCAGGAGGTTAATTGCTAGAGGGCTCCTGGGAAACAAGACACAGTAGTCTTACTGTGTATTAACGTAGGGAGAAAAACTTTGACTGTCTGGGACTCTCAGTGTCCATGGAGACCTTGAGATTCAGTCAGTTACTCAAGACTTTTCCCTGAAGCAGCTTAAAAGTGGCTTTTATCCTTTGGCAGCTTCACCTTTGGGCTCATCTGCTAGCTTCCTTGTATTTAATCTGGAGATTAGATAGATTCTAGTTCTGATGAATGCTGGGCAGATACAGCTATTAACCTTTCACTGGAGAGCAAAGATACCATTAACTGTGAGCTGATAAGAACTATCCATAAAGCTGTGATTAAGCACCAGAATTTACCTTTTTTTTTTTCCTCAAATGTTTGTGGATCTAAGGAAATACGTTAGTGTTTCTGCCAGTTAAGGCAGGCAGCAAGACTTCAGGGAGAGCCAGGAGAAGGACAAGGTGGCTGAGACTCCTCATCACCTCCTGAAAGAGTTATCTTGAGCAGGGACAGGCAGAGGAGTTCGCTGATTCTGTCAGCTGGTGCATCAATCTGGTCTCAAGTGTCAAGGCAGGCTGGTGTTCCCTGGGCATAGCTTGTTCTTCCTCCTTGTGTGTGCTCTGAACAAGGATATCTTTTTGCATTATTCACTTTGCTCTGCATCAAAAAAACCCATCCAAACTCAGGTAGGAGTTGCAATTTCCAGTCCTAATTACAAAATGGCACGTTGTGGATAAGGCTGCTCTCTCTCCCAGTAGGCGTGAGGAGCAGCACGGGGCTGGGAGGGCAGGATTCAGGGCAGGTGTGTCAGGGTGCCTGTGATTCCTCACCTGCAGTGTTAGCAGCAGGTGCTGCTGGTCCTGCTCCCAGCTGGTGCTCATACTTGTCAGCCTCCACCCACCCTTTGCATCAACTTCCCTCTTTCCTGGTATTTCAAGATGAGTAGCTGCAAGAAGCCCTGGTAGGTGTTGAGGTTGGTAGAAAGAAACAAATGCTGCTTGGTATTGCATCCAACGGAGAGTAGGGAAAACCCTGAGCTTGAGGAGCTTAGGCAGTGCTGTCGGGGATGAGTGGTAGTCAGCAAAGAGGTACTCCAGCTCCTGTTTGAAGGACCAGACCGTCTGCTGCGAAGCACCAACATCAGAATAAAATACAGCCAGTGCATAAGAACTCCAGAAGTACAGTACAGCAGTTAGCATCTTCTGTATCTGCATGGATACGTGCTTTCCGGAGTCAGAATCCCGTGTCCTGTGCCCTGTAAGTATAGACCTGATGAAGTGGTAAAGCTGAGCATCAGGTGGAGGTAAGGGGGTTGTTTTAAAAGCACTTTTTGCAAAGGTCCTGCAGAAACTTCATGTGATCTAACCCGAAACTTCAGTCTCCACAGTTAAAAGCACAAAGTGGTTTTGCAGCATTAGGTGGTGAAAGGCCCTCAAGAAGGAAGCAAGCTCGTGATAAACAGACATTACTGGGAAAGAGAAAGCTTCTGCTGAGCAGTTTAGAAGGCTTCTGCGTGTTATCTTTCCCAAACACAGAGATTTCGTTAAGGCTTAGCTGTTATTTGCCCTTTCCTGCTCTTGGCGTCTGGCTGCAGCGATATTCCCGTGGCACCAGCAGAGGCCATCTGATGCTTACAGAGCATTCCCTCTCAACTGTTCTTCTCTCTCACTCATCCTCTTGCAGCGTAACTCTCGTCAGTTCCCTGGTTCTCAGTCCTCGGATGATCCCTCCTCTTTGGACGCGTTTCTGGAGGAAGCTGCAGCAGTCTTGGTTACTCTCTCACACCCTGTGTTGCAGGAGGTGTAGCCTGCATGTCCTGCCACCCCAGGGGACAGTATGGAAGACAACTCGTCCACCCCAGAGTCTGCCCTGGCTTGGCTCACCAGGCACCATATAAGTGAGTACCGGTCTTGTAGCTGCCAGGGGCTTGCATTTGGAGGGTAAAAGTGGGGGTATTGAGCTGTAGGCCTTGCCTCAAGCCAGAGTACTAGGATGGGGAAAAATCTAGAGGGTGAAAATTGGCCCCACAGAAGAGGTCTTTTGAGGGTTGAGGCAGCTGTGCTAGTTCTAGGTCTGCCCCAGGGAAGGCAAGCAGTCCAGGCCATTCTCTGACCCAGCTGAGGAGTCCCGGGAGGAACGGCCCTGGAGAAAGCGGATGATTTTGTCGATTGTGGCCTCCTGGTACTCGTGGGACCACCTGTGCTCGAAGGGAAAAATTGATTTAACTTTTCTGTTGTGCAAGATGCCACAACATACATAGTTCTGTTCATTTGAGCCAGGAGCCAGAGACCCTCTTGCTCCACCCAGCTCTCTAGGAGCACCCCTTTTCCCCATGGAAAATGAAGGAACACTGGATGCTCCAGGGAAGACCCTTCCCCTGTGCCCTGCCAGGCAGGTTGGGATGCCAGCCCAGGATGCTGCCGCGTGGAGGGGAAGCAGAAGGCGAGAGGAACCCTAATGAGGTGCGAAACCTATCAGCATCACTCCTGCCTGGAAAGCTGAGGTCATGAGGGAGGGGAGCTCTGTTGCCTAGAGGATCCCCAACACAAAACCAGCAGAAGGGTTATGGTGGGAACCTTTTCCCCCTTCGTGTTCTGGAGTACCTCAAGTGACTCACCTCCCCTTTGGCCTGTTCTGCCTCTCTCATTGGCTTCTCCCAATTTCCTTTGCTCTTTGCTACTTGCTTACGCAAGCCGTTCTCTCTGGGTGTCAAGGAACGCCTTGGCGCGGGTTCCTTTTACTTACTTGATACCATTAAATTTCAGGACAGCCCTCATGTCCTTGGGAAGTGTTTCTGGATCCGGCCACTCGAAATGGTCTGTAACAGGTACAATGTTCTTTCCAGAGTTCAGGGCTGTCACAATCTCCTGCAGGAACATGCAAGTGGTCAAGCTATGGCCCATGTCAACCTGTGACCATCCCCTTCCTGCTCCAGCATCCACCCAAGCTCCCACCTGATGGCATCTCCTACCTTGTGCACCCAGTCCTTGCACTCGGGGTCTCCCATGCATTTGTCGAGTGCATTCGGCGAGAGGACCAGCACAAAATTGCGGGCGCTCATGACACTCTGGGTCAGCTTGTCCTCAAACTTCCCTGCCTCCAGCTTCTCCACGTCAATGAACACGCTGAAGCCATGCAGCTGCAGGTGGACCTTCAGCAGGCTGGTGGCAAGAGGGGACATGACTGTGAGGAGAGCTACTGCCAGCACCCCATCACGCGCTCTCCCATCACTTTGGCCAAGACATGGTGAAACAGAAGAGCAGTGAGCAGGCCACCACAGAGAAGAGCACGGTCCTTGAGACTCCAGCTGCCAGCCTGCCTGCTTACAGGGATCATACAGAAAACACGGGGAGCCAGGCACTAACTCCCTGCTGTGATCCTCTACAGCCCTACAGCGCAGCGTGGGAAAACGGTAAGTCAAAGAGGAACAGGGTGGCAGTGACAGGACTGAGAATGAGCCTGTCTACAGCACAGCTTATAGCACGTGTTGTCCCCATTGGCACTGCAGCTTTTGGCAGCCTCTCCCTCCTGCCCGTTGCAGCCTGCAGCTCTTCTGTCTCCACGCTTTTCCCACCACAGCTCTGGGCTTCAGCCCAGCACCACATCAATACCTGCAGGACTCACCTGGCCAGCTGCGACCCAGTGCTCCTCCGGTAGCTGATAAACACGTCAGTCCCATCTGATGCCGTTTGAAGTGTTATCGGGGAGTGAAGTGTTTCTAGGCAGAGCAAAGAGCAACTAAAAGTTAAAAATACCCAACAGCTCATCCCAGGTAACCCCCTTGGTACTTGACCCCACCCGGTTGCTCTGGCACAGCGAGCAGCTGCAGGACCCACACCCCTTGCCGCGGTGAGGATGCGGACACGGTGGAAGCCCGTGTTGATGTGACAGTCCTCCTGCAGCTGCTGCTCTGTCACCCGGTGCAGGAAGTTGCGGTTGATGCCGCACATCAGCAGGTTGTACGTGTACTGACGAAACTTGGGGTCGATGCCTCCCAGCCAGTCGGCCAGGTTGCTGCGGTCGCACGTGGAATAGTTTGCGAAAGTCTTCAGCTCTGTCAGCTCCCGGAAAAACCTGGCAGAAAAACAAATGAAAGCTGGAAGGGGAGGTTGCTGGACCAGGCAGGACCTAGAGACATTTGTTACATCTTGTAAGTGCGCAGAAGAGCGTGGCTACGTGCTGTAGTGAAGAATGAGCTAAAGGAATAGAAGAAGAGAAGAGCAGACACTGTTCTTGTGCAGTGGCTGTTAGTCCTCAGAACTCAGTGGTATGAGGAGAAACTCGGGTAGGTTCCCACCTTTCTGGGTAACTTGCAGGGTCTCACCTTCACTGTGCCACAGGTGGTCTCCCCATATCCCACACCTCTCCTGTGCATTGGCCCTGTTGCAGGACTCCCTCTGGGACTGCATACGGCGCTGAAAAAGCCCTGGCAGCCTAGGTTTTGCATTTTGAGGATCTCTGCTCTTGTCTTTGCAAGAAGGGAAAGGCACAGACCTTTTCCCTGGCTCTGCCTCGGTGACAATGACCATGAGAGAGGCCAGCGTGCCCTGATGGTGGACTCACCTTTTCCGAGTGATGCTGGACTCCATCCCCAAATCCTCCTGAAGCTCCTCCTCTGTCAGCCTCAGGAGAATGTCCCCATCTACCTGGTGGTCCTGCCAAGAGAAATCCAGGCTGGAAAGATGCCAGGAAAAGCTGTTGGGTAAGATGTTTACATCCCTGCTGCAAGATGGGGCAAAAGGACCCATCCAGGTGTCCCTCCCTCAGCATGCAGCCCTACCAGGAAGCTCTGGCAGTACTTGTTGAATCCGATCTGCTGCAGCCACGTCTGCACCTCGCAGGGCTTCCAGTTGGGAACTGTGGGCAGGATGCGCCGAGGAACCTCCTCCCCTATCAAGCGCAGCACCTTTTTGGCCAGGGAGGAGGTGGTGCTGCTGGTGGAGTAGCACACAACCCTCTTCAGGCTCTGCGTAGCCCCAATCTCACTGAAAATCTGGGGATACAAAAGGAGGAGACATCACTTTGTTTTCCCTCCTCCTCCCCACAACCTATGTCCGCCCCACTGAGGACCAAGGCACTTGGTGAGCTCCTAGGAGAGCAAAAGACACCAAAATGCAGTTTGTGGTAACCCTTCCCTTTTGCATCTCCTTCCTTCAGGCCAACCTACCCTTTACCTTTGTTTTCTTCTGCCTGGTTTTAATGGCAGCCTCCGTGCAGAGGTAGAAGGCAGCGATACACTGTGCTTCCAGCCTCGAGCTGTCCAGCAAGAGTACCAGCTGCTGCAGGTCCTCGGCCGTCCTCCCCTGGCTGTTGTCGCCGCTGCCCAACATCTCGCAAGCGAACTGCTCCGGGTCCAGCGAGGCAATGAACGGTTCCACCAGAGCCAGCGTTCCTGAGCGCTCCACCTCCTTCTCGATTTCTTTGTTGGTGGCCAACACCGTGATGGCCAGGCACGCGTGCAGGCGGATTAGTTCATCGTCTCTTGAGAACACCAGCGGGAAAAGCCACTCTGCTGTCCTCTTCTCGATCATGAGGCGCTGGTTGGCCTGCCCTCCGTACATGGCACAGTTGGCCAAGGCCATGGCACAGTGCCTCAGCACGATGGGGTCTGTCCAGCGGCACCAATAGAGGATGGCATCCAGGCCTCCATCAGAGATGAGCTGGAAACACGTCTCCTCGGTGTGTTTGAACATGTGCTCTAGGATACCAGAGACACTCTGCGCCAGCTGGGGAACATCTCGTTCCTTGGCTAAGTTCAGAATCACTCCCAGACCGATCCGAGCGATCCGATCCCTGCGGGAAGGAGAGGCACAGGCAGGTGAGGGGCAAACAGTCGTGCAGGGGGTAAGAACAGTGACTAGCATGTGAACTCCCCCACGCTTTGGTGGCGTTGGCCCCATGACAGCCAGATGTTTCCCTGTGGAGCACAGCTGCCAGATATGCTGTCAGGCTGTGATGCAGAGACCTGCGACAGGCTGGTGTTGGAAGAACCTCTCTGGATCTCATGGAAGAGCTTGTGATGTGACAGAGCACGGGGTGCACGGCCCATGACCACCATGCCAGAGGCTTTCATGCTCAAGGTAAGATGTACGTAGCAATTGACAGTGGAGGGTAAGCTAATGCCAGCTTAGAAATAGATCTGCTTAGTGAGCTTAGCTGGGTGTGTGTGAGCTGCTTCGTGTTTGGGGGTGAAAACTCACCTGTAACCAGTGCTGTTCTCTGGCTGCTCTCCAACTTAGTGCCAAGCCCAGGACAGGGGTTTCGCAGCTGGCTGAGCAGCCACACAGAACTGGCCACAGGGGCATGTGAGACAGGGAGCTTGAGGCATGGGATGCCAGAGTGGAGGAAAGCTGTTTATTCCCTCAATCCTATGCTCTCTCAGAAGAGGACAGCAAGAGCCTGGGGGCAGGCCAAAGGCCACCAGCTGCTGCTCGGCCATGGCTGGCCTTGGGCGTGCAGTGCTGTGAGGGTGGTCTTAAAATGACACCTGAGTGGAGCTGTGCCCTAAAAGCGGAGTGAGGAAGGGGCAAATGATGGGCTCTTGGCTGCCCTCTCATGAGCTTGCCTGGGATGAGATGGCAGCTCTGTCTCTGGAGATGAAATGGCCTGTTTGGTGCTGTGATGAAGCTGTTCTGTTCACAGGGCACAGGCGCTGGTGCAGATGCTCGATGCTGTGCTCTTTGTGAGGGCAGGGGCACGTTTGTCCCGCAGTGATCGTGGGGGTGAAGGCACGTCAGCCTCTCCGCACTGGCAAGCGGGAAGAGCATTTCTGGGAAGCCTGTGGCCCGTATGGCTCATGCTGACCTTGGGGTGGGTTTGGCAGCAAATGCTCTGGAGAGTTCTTGAAAAAGAAGCCCTCATCTTGGCTCCAAGCCCAGACTTGGCCGCAGAGCTGGATGACAAACACAGCCCTGCCAGGTCCCCAACTCTGTGCAGCTACAGAGATGGAGCCAGGAGAGGTCCAGCTCCCAGCTGAGCACCATTGCTGCTGCACACAGATGCTGGGAGAGGTGTCTCAGCCAGAGGCTTGGGTCTGCACCTCCCTGCCATTGCTCAGAGGTTGACGGTGACTCAGGCTGCAGGGAATGAGAGGCTGGGGGCCCAAGGCTGCTCCGAGACACTGGAAATGAACTGCTCATGGAGCAGAGACGGTGATTTCAGCAGCTGCTTTCTCTTGCCAGGAAGCTAAGTGCTGAGTTCAGGCCATGCCAGCGATGTTTCCTGGGATTAATTCCACTCTAATGGACTTTCCTGATTTAGCTGTTGCTTCTTTTTGCCTGCCAGCACATGCAATGAGGCCCAGGCCAGGAGTCCACATCCTTTCAGCAAGACATATCACCCATGAATCTGGAGCAAGAACTTAAGCTTTGGCCAGGTTTCCTCCACATACATCTAAAACCCTGGCTGAGGCTGGCTGGACTTGGGTGCACTGAGAGAGAGCAGAGCTGGCAGAGCTGCATGTTTGTTTGTGGGATGCTGGGAGAGAAAGGCCTGCCCCAGCTCACAGCAGGTATATGGCTCCTCTCTAGGACAGGCATGCCAATGCTGCCACCAGGGCATGGCAAACCAGGGGCATAGCAGAGAGTTCACCTATCAGGGGATCTTGCAGAAGTGTTTGAAGGGCGAGCTGCGTGTGAGTGCCGTGCATTTAGATGCCACGTGTGCACATGCACCCTCATACACATGCTCGTATGTATAGACACACGCTCCCCCCACCTGTGCTAACGCTTTGGCAGAACGAGCCCGATGCCTCTTACCTGTCCTGGGCAGCCGCACATGCCTCTCCAGCCTCTGGGCTAGAGGTCACAGGCTGGTGGGCTCTGAGGGCCATCCTCTGGGCAGCCCCTTCCTTACGGCCTCACTGCAGCCCTGGTCAGCAGCAGAAAGTCTCTGGGAACTGGATTTGCCCTCCTTCTCCGGCTGTGGTTATGGCTAAGAGGGAGTTGTGTCTCATCCTTGGAGTCAGATGCTCTGGGCCAGCCAAACCAACCCAGCTCAGCCGTGGAGGGTGTCTTCTCTGGGTGGTGCCCAGCTGAGGGTGGCTCAAGAGGACACCTCGATTCTCACCAGCATCCCTGAGCTGAAGCTGGTCCTCCTCCCTCCAGCTGTAGGAGGGGCAGGTAATGCCATTGCCTGGGCGTGACCAGTGAGTCAGGGACACCGATGTGCAAGTGCTGGCTGCAGGGGGACGCAACGCCGAAGGGGTTTGATGCACCGGGAGCTCCCAGAGCAGGGAAATTTGGGAGGGATGGGTGGTGAAAATCCCTGCTATGCTGGGGGGGTGGGAGTGCCCGAGGTGGGGAGGGCTGTGCCTGTGGGGGAAAGGGGAGCTCTTTGCAGACTCACCTGTTTTCTGCCACCAGGATCTGCTCCAGGAGTTTTCCTGCCTGGCATTTGG